ATGTGAATCATGTTGATAAAAATATTTCTGCTTTTATGTTACTTATTATTATTGACCCTTAGTGAGTGTCAAGGTCGACCATCTCGTCTCTACCTCTTCGAGATTAGGCTTGATACTTACTGGGTACACGTTATTTACGTACTCATGCTGCACTTGCTGCACATTTTATTGTGCAGGTACCTATATGTCTAGCGACCTTGTGGGCGCAGAGGTGTGGTTAATAATTGTGAGGACATAGGTGATTTGCATTCTGTATTACGATCCGCAGCCAACAGAGTGTCCTTCAGAGTTATTATATTTTTCCTCTCTAATTTGTATTCTGGACAGATGCTGTGTTTTATTTTAACTTCCTAGTAAATGCTCATGCACTTGTGACACCTGATTTTGGGATGATCATGGGTTGCACCGTATTGGAAATTTTAAAGATATTATTACGGATTTTATAAACTTCATCTTCTGCTATTTATTTGAGGGGGAAAAACTATGACATCAAAAAAATATTAAAATGAGAATTTATTTAGTATTTATTGTTGGCTTGCCTGATAGCGATGTCCGGCGCCATCACGACATTTATAGATTTTGGGTCGTGCCACTAACAATATCATGCCTCTTGATATGACATTTGCAAGTAATGCATGACATAGGAATATTATTTCGATTCCGCCGGAGGCATCTACAAAGGATAATCCCGCTATACCAGGGTCGATTTTTTTTATAATATAGTCTTGAAAACTTATTCTTGTTCAAGATTTAGCTTTGATTGTGCTTCGTCAAACGCTTGCATGTCCTTCTTAATATTATATATTTTTTTAATTTAAAAAATAATTTTACTCATATGATGAATTTAAAAAATAATTTAATTGGATTATCTTGCTAAATTATTAAATGAAAGATTTAATTATTTGGTTTTAACATAAAATATAATTTATTTTCTATTGATTTAGATTCTTAAAATTAGTTTATCTCATGTTTGAATATTTAACAAATATTATAATTTTATCCACCATAAATTTTATTCGAAAAAGGGCCAAAAATGCCCTTAACGTATTAGAAATGGCTCAAAAATGCCCTCCTTCCACCTATGGGTTCAAATTTGCCCTTAATATTATTTTTAGGCTTAAAATGCCCCTCTCTTAATGGAAAGATGACATGGCATTGATGAGAATTTTAATTAAACATATAACATTTATTTAGTCTGAAAAAAAGTGAATATTTTTTACTAAAAACTGGGAAAAAAAATATTTTTTTTCCAGTTTTTACTAAAAATTGCTTTAAAAAAAGCTGAAAAATATTTTCTAAAATAATATTTTTGTAAAAACTGAAAAAACATATTTTCTCTTCTTCCTTCCTTGTTTGTCCATATGATTTCTAAGTTCATTTTTTATATATTTTATTTCTTCTAACAAGTTAGTATATCAAAACATTAGAAGAACTAAAAAAATATAAAAAAATAAACTCAAAAAGCATATGGACAAACAAGGAAGGAAGAAAAGAAAATATTTTTTTTCAGCTTTTACAAAAATATTGCTTTAGAAAATTGCTTTTCAGTTTTTACAAAAATATAGTTTTAGAAAATATTTTTCAGCCTTTTTTAAAGCAGTTTTTTGTAAAAACTGAAAAAATAATATTTTCGTTTTTTTTCCTGTTTTTAGTAAAAACTATTCACTTTTTTTCACACTAAATAAATGTTATATGTTTAATTAAAATGCTCATCAATGTCATGTCATCTTTCCGTTAAGAGAGGGGCATTTTAAGCCTAAAAATAATATTAAGGGGAAATTTGAACCCATAGGTGGAAGGAGGAAATTTTTGAGCCATTTCTAATACGTTAAGGGCATTTCTGGTCCTTTTCCGATTTGATTTTCAAAGAGTAAAAAGATCGATGACATTCCACTTTTAAATCTTTATGTTTGCAAAATCATTAGTGTGTTGACTCTTACCAACATCTTTCTTTCTTTTCTCACACATTTATATTCTTAAAATATTTCTTAGTTGTTCTTTAATAACTTGGTATATTTTTCTATATTACACGAAAAGTTAATAATAAAACAAATATTTGAGTAGAAAAGCAGTTCAAATATAATATAATAATATATTATCGTGGGGATTTTTTCTCTATTTCAACGCTTTATGCAGTCTGTTTAGCATTACCTTTTTTTGGTATTGAATATTATAAAGTGATAATGTATTACCAATATGGAGGATTCTTATGAAATTGATTTTATTAAACTTTCCTACATATTTTTAATAAGAATTCAATAGACAAGATTGTATTAATTTTAAAATATTAAATATTAAAAAAATTAACATAGAAATTATTGTAGTACAAAAAAAAAAGTTATTACAGCTATGTCATTTCCCTATGAGTTCTTCTGTTTAATATTTTAGTCTATCAATATTATATTCGTACTTTTATAATAATATATGTTATCATGTTTCTAAATGGATTTGGACAATATAACACGTTTTCAAATTAAATTGGTAATAGAAATTTTTTAAAAAGCATATCCTAAAAGTAATAGGATTACAAGGCTAATATCTATGCCCGAAAATAATTATATTAATAGGATTTCTAACGTGTAGTATTATGTCCTAAAACTAATAAGATTACAAGGCTGTCTAGAATTCCGATTATGTCTTTTTATTGTGAGTTATTATGCTTAATATTAAAAGGTTATTTTGGTAATTCAATATTTTATTCATACTTTTATAATAATATAGATTTCTCACACATTTATATTCTTAAGACATTTCTTAGTTATTTTTTAATAACTTGGTATATTTTTCTATATTACACGAAAAGTTAATAATAATAAAAATTATTTGAGTAGAAAAGCAGTTCAAATATAATATAATAATATATTATCGTGGAAATGTTTTCTCAATTTCAACGCTTTATGCAGTCCGTTTAGCATTACTTTTTTTTGGTATTGAATATTATAAAGTGGTAGTGTATTACCAACATGGATGATTCTTATGAAATTGATTTTATTAAACTTTCCTACATATTTTTAATAAGAATTCTATAGACAAGATTGTATTAATTTTAAAATCTTAGATATTAAAAAAATTAACATAGAAGTTATTGTAGTCCAAAAAAATAAGTTATTACAGCTATGTCATTTCCCTATGAGTTCTTCTGTTTAATATTTTAGTCTATCAATATTGTATTCGTACTTTTATAATAATATATATTCTCCTGTTTCTAAATGAATTTGGACAATATAACACGTTTTCAAATTAAATTGGTAATAGAAATTTTTTAAAAAGCATATCCTAAAAGTAATAGGATTACAAGGCTAATATCTACGCCCGAAAATAATTATATTAATAGGATTTCTAACGTGTAGTATTATGTCATAAAACTAATAGGATTACAAGGCTAATGTCTAGAATTCCGATTATGTCTTTTTATTGTGAGTTATTATGCTTAATACTAAAAAGTTATTTTTGTAATCCAACATTTAATTCATGCTTTTATAATAATATAGATTTCTCACACATTTATATTCTTAAAACATTTCTTAGTTGTTCTTTAATAACTTGGTATATTTTTCTATATTACACGAAAAGTTAATAATAATAAAAATTATTTGAGTAGAAAAGCAGTTCAAATATAATATAATAATATATTATCATGGGAATTTTTTCTCAATTTCAACACTTTATGCAGCCTGTTTAGCATTACTTTTTTTTTGGTATTGAATATTATAAAGTGGTAGTGTATTACCAATATGGAGGATTCTTATGAAATTGATTTTATTAAACTTTCCTACATATTTTAATAAGAATTCAATAGACAAGATTGTATTAATTTTAAAATCTTAAATATTAAAAAAAATTAACATAGAAGTTATTGTAGTCCAAAAAAAAAGTTATTATAGCTATGTCATTTCCATATGAGTTCTTCTGTTTAATATTTTAGTCTATCAATATTGTATTCGTACTTTTGTAATAATATATGCTCTCATGTTTCTAAATGGATTTGGACAATATAACACGTTTTCAAATTAAATTGGTAATAGAAATTTTTTAAAAAGCATATCCTAAAAGTAATAGGATTACAAGGCTAATATCTATGCCCGAAAATAATTATATTAATAGGATTTCTAACGTGTAGTATTATGTCCTAAAACTAATTGGATTACAAGGCTAATGTCTAGAATTCCGATTATGTCTTTTTATTGTGAGTTATTATGCTTAATACTAAAAAGTTATTTTTGTAATCCAACATTTAATTCATGCTTTTATAATAATATAGATTTCTCACACATTTATATTCTTAAAACATTTCTTAGTTGTTCTTTAATAACTTGGTATATTTTTTTATATTACACGAAAAGTTAATAATAAAAAAAATTATTTGAGTAGAAAATTAGTTCAAATATAATATAATAATATATTATCGTGGGGATTTTTTCTCAATTTCAACGTTTTATGCAGTCCGTTTAGCATTACTTTTTTTGGTATTGAATATTATAAAGTGATAATGTATTACCAATATGGAGGATTCTTATAAAATTGATTTTATTAAACTTTCCTACATATTTTTAATAAAAATTCAATAGACAAGATTGTATTAATTTTAAAATCTTAAATATTAAAACAATTAACATAAAAGTTATTGTAGTACAAAAAAAAAGTTATTACAGCTATGTCATTTCCCTACGAGTTCTTGTGTTTAATATTTTAGTCTATCAATATTATATTCGTACTTTTATAATAATATATGCTCTCCTGTTTCTAAATGGATTTGGACAATATAACACGTTTTCAAATTAAATTGGTAATAGGAATTTTTTAAGAAGCATATCCTAAAAGTAATAGGATTACAAGGCTAATATCTATGCCTGAAAATAATTATATTAATATGATTTCTAACGTATAGTGTTATGTTCTAAAACTAATAGGATTACAAGGCTAATGTCTAGAATTCCGATTATGTCATTTTATTGTGAGTTATTATGCTTAATATTAAAAGATNAATTCACCTTTCCTCACTGCAAACCAGGCAAGACACTACAATACATTACAGTTATACAAACTGTCGAACATTATTTTATCAATCAGATTCAAAACTAACCAGAAAAAAAAAAAACAGATTCAAAACCAACATTTATATTCTGCAAAACCCTAACACAACACACACACTCACTTTCAATGGCGAATTATCATAGAAAACCAGCAGTAATAGACCCGATGTACTACCCAGTGATCGCTTTAATCATCGCCGTTATCGCCTTCGTTGAGCTCTCTGACGCCGTCACCGTCGTCGACGTCTACCGGCTTGTTCAGTACGATATCTCCGGCGTCCCCTTCGGTTCTCGGCTCGCTGTTCTTAATCATCACGCTGGCTCGTCCTTATTTGCTTCTGGTGGCTCCGGTTCCGATCTCTCTCGTACGGTTCTCATTCTTCCGGTTAGGGAATTGGATCCCACTCTCATTAAAGGTACGGCCACGACTTGGTTTCGAAATCTCATTCATTTTTGGGTGGAGTTTAGCTTTTAGGAAATATCTATTTGTTAGGATTAACTTTTGAGTTTATTAGCTTGTTTAACCGAGCTTCTGGGAGGCTAAAAGTGTTTTTTTTAAATATTTTTTTTAAGTGTTTAATATAGAGGGTTGAGGTGACTGGCTAAGCTTTTAGGAAAAAACTTAAGTAGTGTTTAGTAGTAGAAGCTGTTTTAAGAAGCTGAAAAAAGTAGCTCCATCCGAGAAGCACTTTTAGAACCTTGGCCTAGCACAAATTGTTCCTTGAATATTGACAAAAGTGCTTTTCAAATTGATTAGCCAAACACAAACTAATACTCTCTAAAAGTACCTTGTCAAAAAACACTTCTAAAGAAAAATACTTTTCAAAATAAGCATATTTTGGAAGTTTGGCCAAATAGGCTATTTGTTCTATGCACTGACGTGATACGGTCAGGTCATTTAAAAGGTAATTACAAATAACTCTATTTAATATTATTGATTGATAGCCTAAAAGAAATGGTAAGTAGCATCTTATAACATGTTAAATTACACTGATATTGTAAAAAGATCATTACACAGTCAATGTATATAACTTAAATCCTTTAGTTTTAGCTGTTGTTACCGAAGAAGGGATAAGCGTGAGATTTAGTGAACCTGATTCTCATTAAAGATGCAGCTCCATATATTGATTCTGAACTTAAATATATGTTATTTGGACCAAGCCATATTAATTAGTGGGATTATAGTTTAGTTATTGTGCTTATGCTAGTTTGGTAGGAGTGAGTGTGAGATTCCGGAGAATCTCACTCTCATTAAAGGTGCAACTCCATCTACTGCTTCAATATGTTATTTTCTTTCTAAATGTGTTATCAACTAGGAGATACCAAGCTTAGTTCGTTACTTACATTATGTGTGTGGTAGGGATAAGCATGAGAAGGAAACCTATAACTTTAGGGAGTCTCCGATTTGCCTTAAATGACACGTTACTCATGTATTGTTATTAAAAGTCATTGCTCTGTCACTTATAAGCGATGCTCGCAAGAGATTATCACTTTATGGGCGAAGCCATGCACTTCAAACAATGACGTGGAAAGTTATATACAAGAAAAGGAGTGGTTCTTTGAATCTCAACATTGACGAGTTGGATTAATATTAACATTTTTGTATATAGAATGATGAATTAGTTATTCGAATTACCTTTGATCATTATTTCACTAAATTCATATATGTCTGGCATTCTTTAATTTTCCATGAATAGCATGCTTGACTTCTCACTTTTTCTTTAAATATTATGAACCTTGTCGCTATTGTTTTCGCTTTTAAAACACAGTACTTACGAGTACTAGAATGATAGAATGTTTTAGAATTTCATTGTTGTCTGGAATATTTGCTTTTTCAACAAGGTGAAACTAAATAGTTGGGATTAAAGCTGGATTTGTTGTTCTACTTACATTAGGTTCAGGCAGGGACAACTATGAATTTTCGGAAGCCTCACTCTCAATAGAGATGCAGTTTAATTTACTGCATTCAAATTTCATTTTTATCTTGATTTTTTGCTTCTTTCTTAACTAGTTTGTTGTTACACTTACATTAGGTCCTTGTAGAGATAAGTATGAGATTTGAAAACTTTAGAGAGTTTCTAGTTTATCTTAAGAGACATTTTTGGAATGACTTATTGCATTGAAATTTCAATATTGCTCGTATATGTTTTTTTCAACGTTACCTATTAGTTCGGACTAAAGATTAGCTTGTTGTAATTCTTATATTAGGTCGAAATAGGAATAAATGTGCGATTTAGAGAACTTATAGTCTTAACGGAGTATCTATTTGCCTTAAAAGACAAGTTATTTAGCAGTATTGGAATGACATACTTCAAAATTTCATTGTTGTTTAGGATATTGTTCGTTCAACTAGGTGACACCAAACAGTTGGGGCTAAAGCTTAGTTTGTTCTTATACTTACGCTAATGCCTCATTTGTTTGCACTTAATGAAGGTATGAATCTTAATTATTTAGATCTCAGATATTAAGTGCGTTTGTTTTCAAAGTCTGAATCTTAATTATTCAGATCTTAATCATTAAGTGTGTTTGTATTTTTTACTTCACAACCACTTAATGAGTCTTAATAGGTCTTTATGATTACGATCTATAACAGAGATTTAATTTCATTAAGATGCTATCATCCATATTTATTATTAACTGCCGCCACCGCCTACCATTATCAACTACCACCATGCCACTACCACTACCAACACCACCATCATCCTCAATCATAGCCGCCACCATTATCGACTATCACAAGCCACCATCCCCACCATTCCCACCACCATCATTCTCAACCACAATCAACCCTCATCCATCTCAACTACCACAACTAACCACCCCATCACCATCAACAACTACAGCCGGCACTGCCCGTCATTATAAGCTACCACCACCCACCACCACCTTCCTCAATCACAACTACCACCACCACCTGTCATTATTAACTATCACCACCCGCCACCACCTTCCTCAATCATAATCTCCACCACTACCAATCACCATTAGCTACTACCCTGAACCACCACCATCAACCAAAACTACCACTAACCACTGCCTCTAGTCGGCATTCACAAGCACTACCGTTAGCCATCACCACCAACAACTATCATATTTTAAAAAATTATATATTTTATTGATAGAATATTAAATTAATTAGTATTTCATTTAAATTTTATGTTTATTAATTTTCAAATAAAGATAAATTTTATACATTTAGATGTTAAAAATCAAACAGTGTTAATCATTTAGTATTCAGATCTTAATACACATCTTAACATTCAGATGTGTATTCAAATTCAGATGTCTTAATCTTAATACACATCTTGATATTCAGATGTGTAATCAGATTCAGACGTCTTAATCTTAAAACAAAAAATGAGGCCTAAATCTAGTAGGGATGGAAAAAAAGTCTATTAGGTACAAATGTGAGATTTAGAGAATATCTAGGTTTAGAAGTTTCTACATTGAACTGGAATGAAATGGACTCGAATAGAGTGGAATACATAAAGAGCTCATATGGCTGATCCCCACTTGGCTGGAATTTCACTGTGTATACCCATTTACATTTGGATCCCACAGTCTTACAGCAAGCCATAAAAGAAAGGGAAAAATTTGTATAGTTGTCCTGTACGAAATTAACTCTTCTAAAACCTGAAATGGGGAAGGAGAAAGAAAGGAAGGACTCGCTATTTGATTGATTTACTTTTTATTACCCCGACTGCTCTCTTGTTCATATATTGGCTTTTAGATTTGATTCCCCGTGTGTTCCTCCGGGGTAAGGATAAGGTCTGCGTACAATCTACCCTCCCCAGACGTCACGTGTGAGATTTTACTGGGTTGTTGTTGTTCCCGTGTGCTCTAGTATAAAGAAAGGTAGACTTCTCTTCTCTATATTAGTAAGAGAGATTGAACCTGCAAACACTAACCTAACAGAAAAAAAAATTTCTAGAGAAATGGCCCCGATGTCGGACTCCTTTGTGAATCGGTGCTTTCCTTGTCTTCAAGAGTTCGATTAATTGATCTCTACTGTTGTGCTGACCCAATGAAGTTGTCTGACCCACAGAAAAGGTTGGAGGCGGTTGAGCACATCCCATAAGAGTCAAGCCCAGAAAGCATGACAAGTTATTAACCAATCCCAACTAGTCGGGGTTAAAGCTCCGTTGTTGCGACACTTTAATCTGGTAGAGATAAGAGCGAAATAAACTCTTTGCCTTAAGTGAGGAGTTACTTGCAAGTGTTGGGATAAAATGGACCAAAATAGAGGCCTCGATGATTTCTCAGAAAAGAAAACCAACCAGAATAGAGCAAAATATATAGAGAATTCCTATTATTGACCAACTCGTCTGAGATTGAGATGTAGTGGATTGATATAATTTTTTTCCAAGCTCTAAAACTAAACAGGATCGGTTCAAAGATTAGACATTGGATCACTAAAATGATTGAGACACTTGCTGACCATGGTTGAGCTAAGAAGCTCATCATTGTTTTTTTGGGGGCTAATTAAACTATTTTATTTATCACCAAAGTAGCAATTACAAAACCAGAGCTTTAGCTACCTCAGCTAGCTGTCCCAAAAAAAACAACCAACAAATTAAGAACTCTATATACTTACTACGGGAACCGGAAGCACACCTATTAGAGAGTGTTTCTTGTATCCTTTCAGTAATTGCAGATAGAACACCAAGACAAGGAACACAACAGCTCATAAACTAACCATCTCAAAGAAGAAAGACTGTAACAAACTTCTAACTCCAGCAGATGCCCCGACATTGCACACGTAGGCACCACTTCTAGCAGTGCTTTCCCAATCTCTTGCCCTCTTCTCAAAGATTCTCTGATTTCTCTGTAACCAAATAGCATGGACAGTTTCAGCATACACCCTTTTGAAGACCTGAGCTGTTTGTGATTTCTCTTCTGTCTTCTCAAAGATTCTCTAATAATTTGCAATGCATAAACCTGATAAAATGTGACGCAGGGTGATGATTAGATAGCAAAGCTAGTTTTAGTTTTGTTAACTTATAGTGAAAGTGCAACATCAGCATAACAAAGAGATTATGTCCCCAACAAATGCTGATCTATCCTTTTCAGGATGTTCTCGCGGCAATGCTTATGAGTAAGCTGTTTTGAAGATAGAGTAAGGCCATGTGAATGAGAGGAGAAAAGAGAAGCTAGTAATTTGGGGTGGGGGCGGGGGCGGAGAGGCTGGATATAGAAGAAGGTATAAACATAGTGGATAAGTTTGTTTGAGGCCTCACAAACTGACCAAGAAGATTATTGTTCTTTTCTTCACCAAAGTAACCATGTTAGAATGAATTCAACACATTTGTTAACGACCTTCACTCATTGAAGCTTGGTCATGGTGAAAAGGGCAGCCCGGTGCACAAGGCATCCCGCATTCACGCTGGGTTCGGGGAAGCGCCACAGCCCAAGGAGTTTGATGTAGACACCCTACCCTAATGCAGGCATTAGTGGTTGCTTTCACGGCTCGAACCCGTGACCTACAAGCTTGATCGTGATTCAATTCCCAAAAATATACAAAGAGTGACTTACTACAGCAACAACAACACTGCAATTCCAGACAAGTTTGGGTCAGCTATATGAATTCTTATTATCCATGTTGCTCTATTTAATCTCGTCTCAGTCCAACATTATTAGAAATTAGTTTTTCTAGTAATAGAAGATTAAGATACTTTAATCTGACCATATTTCTTATGGTGGTATTTTCTTATAACAAATAAAAAGATTTACACATTTTATTACTTTCTAGCGCGTTCCTTGCTTGAAACATCACTAACCTTGATTGTGCTGATCATGTTATAGTACAACTCTTTGTTCCTCATGCAATACGTATTTAGATTGTCTCTTCTGATGGGCTTGCCCTTCCATTGGCTCTTATTGCAGAATATATTGAACAGAAAAATCTATTAGGGGGTTTACTGCTTTTACTCCCCCCAAAACTTAGTCCAGAAAACCTAGACAACGCATTTGGTGCTGATGAGGGTATTAACAGCCTGATGAGCAAATTGGCTGAGTTGGAACGGTTGCTTACGCATTCTAATATCCCTGTGAGTGCAATGAATCATCCATGCTTTTTTGGCATATCTATGTGGCACAATGCATGTTATGCATAGTACATCCTTCATCATGTACCATGAGTTATATTTGTCTAGGGCTACTTGGGCGTGCTTATTTTACCTTAATTAGTTTGAACTTTTTATTAGATCTTTTTTTTATAGTCATACTTGACGTTTGGTTACTCCTTATCAAAAGCTTGATGTTTGGTTACTGTACGGATAACTCAATCTCATGAACTAGTAACCAGTTATTAGTGTAACAAAGAAAATAATTCTTAAATGACAATTTGTTTCCTGCAATCACTTTTTTCGAATAATCAGTGGCAATCTATATAATCTAGACCAAACAAGTCATGACTGTGATTCCTTAGTTGGTAGAAGAAAATGCTGGAACATTGATTCTGTTAGTTTCTATGAAAGAGAAGAGTTCAATCAAGGAGGGGTGGAGATGTCTGTAGACTGTGTTTCAGAGGGGAATAGAGGGAAGTGTCTTTTCTGTTTCTTTTAACAATTGCGTTTGAAGCTTATGTTTCTGGCTAGAGATGAGAATAAACAAGGAATATTATGTAATGTGGCAGCCGTTAAGTCCAACCTTTCTGTTGTTGGCATACCGATTCATCCTTCCTCAGAGTGATGAAGAGCAACTTGAACTATTTTACTTACTATTTGGCATGTGATCTATGAGTGTGTCTAGTTCACATTAAATTTGGTAATAAGTCCTCTCCCAACAACAACAACATACCCAGTAATAAGTCCTCTCCCAAAGATAGAGAAATTAGTACTAGTCTCTTTTGCCCTGAAATAGTTTTTACCACCTATCTTTTGTTCAAGGAGGCTACTCCCATTGCCTTACTTCTGTTGTTTGAATAGTTCTAATTTATGTGGATATCCTTCATCTTGAATTTATTTCATCTTTTATCGTCTAACAAAATAGTGAATTTTCAACCTTTTGAAATTCTGGTGCAGTATCCTGTATATTTTGCTTTTGAGGATGACAATATCAATGCTGTACTAGCTGAAGTTAAGAGAAACGATGCTAGTGGTCAACCTGCAACAGCTACCACAGGCGGGTAAGTTGGAATCTCATTTTTTGTTTTCGAGAGAAGAATTGCCTCTTTTGTTTGATGTATGTATGCTAAAACATTAAAAAGATTAGAATGTGTCGTAGAGATATTTTACGTAGTCTGGACAAATTTCTGTCTACTGTAAAAGTGCTTGTGAATTGGGCACATTCTAATGGAGCTAACAAGCTCACTTTTGTTCTTACTATCTTTTGTACTATTTGCATCTACTTGATGCCATTAAGGAAACCACTTACTTCATCTGAAAAACAGTGCTTGTGAATTTTTAAGCCATCTTTAATCATTATCATATAGTTAAATGATTCCATTCAATTTTATTCTTGATCTAATCCCATTTGGTATTTTCTTGGTCAATGCAAATGTTAATTTGAGAAAAAAGTTTGGCTTACTACCTGACTTGACTCTGTTGGTAATGGGCTTGTTCACCAAAATTTTAAAAAAAATGAAAGTGAAAAAGGAAAAAGAGGGTCCTATGATTTCGTGCAACACAATTGTTGAGGCGTTGAGCATGGATACATGCTCTGGTTTGACTTCAGGACTTGCATATTATTTGTATAGTAGAATTTTTGTATTACTGAAGAATGCATACGATCTTGTTATGGTAGAGAAAACACCAACTTGACGTGTACTTTTTGCTGTATCTAAATTCTTGCAAAAACTTGAGTGGGTCCATAAATTATTATTTGTTTGACTGTATCAAATATTTGTGATGCCCCAACACGGGAAAAATGGGGCTGCACAAGTTTTGGTATTTGAGGTATCCTTTCTGAGATTGGATATCAATATGAATGTGCAAACTTGTTTGATGTCGTGTTGACGAAGGTTCAACTTTTTTTTTTTTTTTTTTGTGATAAATATCTTGTTAATGATTCAGTTAATCACATGTCTACAGCTACAAGCTTGTTGTTGCTGCCTCAGATCCTAAGAGAATTGCGTCCCCCAACATTGCAAATATTCAGGTTCTAGTTCGCGGCTGTTCACCTCCTGGTTTTTTAAGTAGGAGCAGTTGGATTTACTACGACTCTTAAATTGATGTTTGTTTAGGAATATTGACTTGACTTAATTGCCTACGGTGTTAGTTCTAAAATGCTTGACATACATGATACAACCTTTCTCATCCGTCTTAAAAAAATCGACCTGTTTTGTTAAATAACAAGTTTATATCGCTCAAATCAATGCATATTAATATAAGCTAATACCGCATCAGGTCATTTCAAATTTGATTTGACATCTCTCAGCTAACTACTGCTTAAATTGAGCGACATGGTCAGTGAAGATTCGTATAGCCGAACCCAGTTGCTTGAGATTGAGGCGTAGCTGCTGTGAGCTTTCGTGGGGGCTACATATGGTCTTAGCTTTAATTTCTTTTTCATAATTGTTATGGTTCTTTATTTTGTACACTCAGTTTTGTTTTTCCAATTTTTATGAATCTCTATGTACTTAGGATTCTGTTTTCTCTACTTTGATTTCCTTATAATAGTCGAGCAAATCAATTGAGTGCATGCAACTCTTTTTGCTTCCTTATAGTAGTCAATCATATCAGCTTTGTACATTCAATTATTTGGCCTTTCTTATTTTAGTAGTTCAATCATTTTAAGCATAGATGAATGCATTCATACCGACCCAACTTGTTTGGGACTAAGGCGTGGTTGTTGTTGGATGCATTTTCTATGAATCTCTATGTACTCAAATCTATTTGTTTCTATGCATTGTTTTCCTCATAATATAGTCAAGCAAGTCAATTCAGTACATTGAACTCTTTTGTTTACTTATAATAGTCACTCAAATCAAGCTTAATACATTGAATTACTTTTTTTCTTATTTTGGTAATGAAACAATTTTCAGTCTCTATGGATGCATTTCCTTATTGTACTAACCCAAAAGGTTTTCTGTTTTATATTACCATAATCCTATTGTATCTCCTCCTTCTTGAATTATATAAGACTAAGAATTATACAGACTAATTTCTAAAAATAATGGGCAGGGCATGGGTTAACAGCTACTTTAATTAATCAATGAAGTAGAATGTTGTTTGAAAGTTCTTTTATCAGTACTTGTTAAATGTCAGGGATGGTTACCAGGACTTAAAGTTGATGGAGACTCAAATCAACTCCCAACTATTGCCATAGTGGCTTCATATGACACATTTGGGGCTGCGCCAGTAAGTTATGACTTACTCTATTAAGTTTTGAGCTGTTACAATAAATGACCTTAATCACTTCTTTTTATCATTGAATTTACAGACATTGTCAGTGGGAAGTGATAGCAATGGAAGTGGTGTAGTGGCACTTCTTGAAATTGCTAGGTTGTTTTCTGCTCTATATTCAAATCCTAAAACTAGAGGTAGATATAATTTACTCTTTGGATTGACATCTGGTGGACCGTATAACTACAATGGAACTCAGAAGGTGCACCACTCCTTCCCAAAATTTTTGTCCTGTCCTTTTAAGTTGCAGCTGTCTCGTTCTGTCCTTTGAATGTGTAAGCTTTCTTCAGTGGCTTCGGAGTTTTGACCAGCGTCTACGTGAGAGTATAGACTATGCTATCTGCTTGAATAGTGTTGGGTCCCTTGGCAATGAGTTACGTCTTCATGTGTCCAAACCTCCAGAAAATGCTTACATACAGCAGATATTCCGGGTATGCAAATGGCGTCTAAGGGAGAAATCTAGGAGAATTTTAGATTTTATCACTTCCACTGCTCTGCCCTTTCTTGTCTGAAGAACTGATATTTGCAGGGTTTCTCTACCATAGCAGAAGAATTGGGCCTTCAAGTTGGTCTTAAGCACAAGAAAATAAACATCTCGAATCCTCGAGTAAGTACATATACCGCTTAAAGAAAAATTCATATCCCTGCTTAGATGGTCAGACATAATGCATTGTTTTCTTGCCCTGTTCTCGCACTCTTGGAACTCCACCTATCTGAGATTTGCATCCCGTTCTAAGTTTGGATAAAAGAGGAGAATTGTGGTAGGCTGATGGTCAGCGGAAAATTGTCTAACAATGATAAATCCTCCGAATACGGTCTGAGAGTGGAATGTACTGTATGGAGTGGAATTAATACAAAGATTCATATCACCAACTAGTTTGTGGTTGATGGATTGTTGATTGGTTATTCTCAAACCTTTGGACCAATGTTAGAGCTTCAGAATCTTACATTAGAAATGATGTTTAAATTAGTTTTTTTGGCTATGTCTGCAGTTCAAGCTTTGTAGGCTGCTTTCTGTTGTGGTGATACAGCTTTCGTTTACTTTTGTGAAGCGAGGTTTTGCAACTCTCTTTCCAGCCCTAAACATTTGTACAAACATGTACAAGGAGACTGCTTATTTCACCCAGAGCTAGAAAGCATACCCATTTATTTTGGACCATACTTGTTCTTACTGCTTCTCTCTCTAATGGCATCAACAATTTTTTCACTTGAAATGAAACCCTTGTCACTGTTTATGGTAATGTAAAAGCTGGTATTGAAAAAAGAAAATAAAACTGGTTATTGTGGCTCAAGGCCTGCCCTTAGCTGTGATTGAAGTAGTTATTATTGTTGCAAACATGAGAATACCAGAATGAGATTTGTGTTCAATCTGCAGTTTGGTCACAAGTACAGATCTCACACTTCATGGCTTTGTGCATATGTGATGGTCTAAGTTGCTCCGACACGACAGTGCCGCACCCGTGTCGACACGACACTAATATGGGTGTGGGTATGGGATCCGTACCGGATCTGGTCAAACAATTTTGAGTACTTTGACCGCGACGGACGGAAAAATTCGTGGCGAGATATAGTTTGATTCCCGAAATCAGAACCAAAACTAGGGTAAATTTGAAAAAAATAGCATGCCTTATCTAGTAAATCAATCCTTTACTTATCTACAACTTGAGAATAAAAAAGTAATCCACACTTTACAAGCTATACGTAAGTATTCCATAAAATTTCTCGTAATTTAGAGTTTTTATATTTTTGTATTATCTTTAGCCGGATCTCCGCACCTGTATCTGTACTAGGATCCGTATCCCCGAGTCTTAGAATTTACATCTCGGAGGATCCGACCTCTAGATCCGTACCCGTGTCGGACACCCGCACCCGTGGCCGAGCAACTTAGGTGATGGTTGCGTGATGCTATTTGTGCGACTGTAGTAACTTAGTGGTCATCCCCCATCCCCCTGGCTTTGTGCAGATTCAGTGATTGGCTGGTGCTATTTGTGCGATTTTAGTAACTTNAGATAACCTTCACATCTGATCTTATGCAAAGAGCGACATCTACATACTCCTTTTTAACCACCCTCCATGTATTATCATTTACATGAATAATTAACCTTGATGGAAGAATCTGGAAAGAAAATATTTAATCGCGTTTCATTGCTCCAAAATGATCACCCCTAGACTCAACCTGCTTATCCCTGTCATGCTCAAATAACACTCTCCTTTACCTACTTTCCCCCACCTTGTCTTATAATTCCAAACAGTTCTCTGCGGAAACTCATTGCTCTTTTTCCCCTTCAGTCAACTTGGAAAAGATTTGATATAAATTGAATAGAATGAATTTTCAGCCGTCCTTTCCTTATCTAATCTGCAAAGTAGCTTTAGGAAATCTTTGGAGTTGGATGAAGAATGTAGCATGAAGTTGAGGAAACGGAAGATTATTTTCCTGTTTCCATATTGCCTACTAACTACAAATGCATTTATGATTTTGTATGCATCATTAATCTGTAATTTTGTCATCGATAAAAGTTAAGCCCTTTACTGATGTAATTTGTGCATAAGTTTTTGACAATCGCAGTTATTTTGTGTAACATAAGCCAGCTAGAGAGCTAGTTCTAAGCTATTTTATTGACTATTACTTGACAGTCACTTTCTTTAGACTAGACACTACATATCCCACTTAAACCTGAATAGTCTCTAGAGTTTCCCTGTTTAAGCTACTAAGCTTGTTTTTACTGGTTAATAAAGCAGTCAGATATACCTTCTTTACTTGTTTAATTGTCTCGATATGTGATGTTTAGTCTTTTTACTGTGCTAAGGCTGCTAAATGGTGTAGGTAGCCTGGGAGCATGAACAGTTTTCAAGGTTGAGAGTCACTGCAGCAACACTATCTGAACTTTCTGCTGCACCTGAATTACTGGAAAGCACAGGACATCTGGCTGATAACAGGTTGTGGCTTAGCTTCTAATACCTCTTTGTTCTATTTTTGTATCTTCTCTGATGGCCATTTGCTGAACTCCTGGTTTCCTGTGTAGACATTTTGTCAGTGAAGCCTCAATCATTCGAAGTGTCAAGCTTGTTGCTGAAAGTCTAGCGGTAAGGACTTTAGCCTACCTCTTTTCCCCTGTAGTACGAAATTTTTGACTCAGTTGCAACTGCTAGTTTCTTATACTGATAAAACCTTTAACTTCCAATAATGAAGTTCTCTTCTATATGAGAAATAAACAGTGGCAGTCTAACAGTAAACTTGAAAAAGAAAGACAGGAACTTTTTGGCCTCTTATAGGTCTGGTCTTGTCATGCATGCTCCTTTTGAGACAGTCGATTCTCATCTACATATTCTGTTCAACATCAAAAAGCATAGCTTTATAATTTGAAGTATGATCATACTTCTGAGACTATTGGGCAGATAGTGGTTGCAGTCTTGGTTTTTCTTGTGGTTTTGGGATCTCTTGATGTTATGCTAGCGGAACTAGTCTATAGCTAACAAAATCAGTTTAAATCATAATTCAATAGCTACCCTTAATCTAGAATAACTCCAGAGTTTCTCCTCTTTGAAGTTCTCTTCAGGTTTCCCAAGTTTACAATTGAGCTCAGGCCTAATAGTCTGGAAATTCTCTGCTGGTTCACGAGTATTATTGCATCTTTTCCTTTAATTAATTAAATGAGCAACATGATTGAATTTTGAGTAGCGGCTTGTATATGGGGGTTCCCCCATCATTAATTAAACTATTTACCTTGTCAAAAAGAGAGAGATTGAATTTTGAGTAGTTCTGTCAGTATATATATTTGAGATTTTCTGGAGGACTTTGTGAAAGATGTATTTATTGTCTTCATTACATTGCTTGTTCCTTAGTGTCAAGGAAAATTCCTGATTGTGATATGCATCTTCTGCATCATTTTTTTCTTTGGGGTGGGAAGACTGTATTTCAGAGGATGATCATTTTGCATTAATATATGTAGGATGTTGTTTTGCATGTCTTCTATTATAGAGAACAGATGATTTTGATATCCTGAATTACTTCTGAAGAGAAGAGTGGGGTGATTGATCAGCTGGTTCAGAATTTTAGATTACCAAAAAACATTTTTCATATATGTTTCTTTCTCCTTTATTCTGCAGCTTCATGTGACTCAGTTTTTTGTAAACCTTCTTTTAGGTAATCAGAAATCTGTTCTGGTATTTTGCTTATTTCAAACATTTGTCTTAACATGAAGTGAGCTGTCTCATGCATTAGGAATACCGCTTTTTAGCAGACAACAGTAGTTTCACAAGTTTGTTTAACAAATTTCTTTATATGCAGAGACACATTTATAACCAGGAGCAGAAAAACATAAGCATATTTGCAGACGNGCATTTTTCATATATGTTTCTTTCTCCTTTATTCTGCAGCTTCATGTGAGACAGTTTTTCGTAAACCTTCTTTAGGGTAATCAGAAATGTGTTCTGGTATTTTGCTTATTTCAAACATTTGTCTTAACATGAAGTGAGCTATCTCATGTATTAGGAATGCCGCATTTTTGCAGACAACAGTAGTTTCACAAGTTTGTTTAACAAATTTCTTTATATGCAGAGACACATTTATAACCAGGAGCAGAAAAGCATAAGCATATTTGCAGACGATAGTAGTTTAGCCGTCAATCCTTCCTACATAAGGTCTTGGCTAGATCTTTTATCTACAACACCTCGAGTGGCACCTTTTCTTTCAAAAAATGACCCGCTTATTAAGGCACTGGAAAAGGTATTTTAGAGGCATGTTATGCTTAAATTTTGTATTTAGTTAATTGTTTCTTTTTTACCTTTCAAATAGTCTCATAATTTCTTGGTTGTATATTTTCAATGCCTGCAGGAATTAGCTGATCATACTGCAGAGGTGAATGTACAGCATGAGACTCTAGATGGAATG